GGCACCCCAACACTGCATGTTTTGCATGTCTCCTTAATCAAACACCTGATTCAGATCATCAGCTCATTAGTAGAGACTCCAAGACCTGAAATTGGTGCGGCAGAGAAAGGAGACATGCAAAATGTGCAGTGTTGGGGTGCCTCCAGGACCAGGGTTGGGAACCACTGATCTATATGATAATGTCTATATTTTAAAAGATAACTGGAAAAATACCAAATTGGCAAGGTAACTGTTAATAAGTGGTGGGAGAAACAAAGCTTTTTGAAACTTTGAATCAATTAAACGTAGCTTTAATTTAGAGTTTCTATACACTTTATACTTTTTTTTTTAAAGGTTTGTGGTTCCAGGATTAAGTATCAGTTAAAAACTAGTGATGTATACATACTTGTTTGTTCCAAAGTCATAGGCTTCACAAGAGGCTAAAAGGCCATCTTCATTGACCCCTCCAACCACAATGATCTTTCCTTTGTGGAAGACGGCTCCAAACATTGACCTGGGTGTTTTCATGGCTGCCAGCTCTTTCCATTCGGACTTCTTGTGGTTGTACGCAAACATCTTGTTGATGGTTTTACTGTCCCACAGATGAAAACAAGCATTAAAGCCTCATCTCAGGCTTTTGTTTTGTATTTAAGATCATGTTAACTCAAATCTGACTTACTTCTCATCCGTCTTTCCTCCTATGCAGTAAACTAGTCCATTTTGTGAGATTACACTGTGACCGTGAATTCTTAAGGGCAGTTTTTTGGTCTCCTGCCACTTCATCTTACTGCAGAGAGCAGCAAAAGGTAATTAGATAGACTTGTAATTATTTGGCTTATGCATGTAGCAGAAAATGTAGAAGAAACTTACTCGACATTATAACACAGCACTGAGTCCAGAGACTCGTTGGTCTGCAGGTCTTTACCAGCAACTGCAAACAAGAGGTTTTCAAACTCCCCCATAGTGAACAGACACCTGGGCGATGGCATCGGTGGCAGGGCTATCCAGTTTGGAGAATGAGTGTCCAGCTGAAGATTGTGGATGACTTAAAATTAATTTAAAATGTATAATTTTAGTTTTATTGTCCCTGATGATATAGGCCTTTGTGTTAGGCCTGTTAATAATTTGGGACTTTTTTGCACCTAAAACCACTTCCTAGAAATATAAAGTTATACAATTTAATGGATAGTGCACCCATAAATTAAAAATCAAGTCATCATTTACTCACCTTCGTGTCATTCCAAACCAGTTTGCAACACAAAAGTGGGGATTCTTAACTAAAACTAAAACCATAAAAAAATGTTCATTACTTAAAGGGGTCCTATTATGCTTTTTCACTTTTTTAATTTTAGTCAGTGTGTAGTGTGTATGTTTGGGCATAAAAAAGATCGAGAAAGTTATAAATCTCAAAAGTCCACTCCAAAGGGAGATATTTTCCCTTTTCAAGAACTACAACGAACGGCTCGTTTGGACTACAGCATTTGTTTTCCGGGGCCCCGCGGACAGACGCCGAATGGCACTGCCAGTGTGCCTACACTCATAGAAAATAATGTATTCGAATTTTAAAGATGTGGCGCGACACGACGCGACGCGACGCTGCGCTTCTCGTCCGGTGCGCGACCGCCTGAAACGCTCCTTCATCAAAGCCGGAACTAATCGAGCCATTTGTGCCAGGCTGGGGAGAAAGGTACTTTAATAATGTAAATTATGCAGAAAAATAATGCGTTTTTCGAACCATCAAGCATGAGAGCATGTTCTACTACACCCCCAAAACAAAATCAAGACTTTGTAAAAGAGCATAATAGGACCCCTTTTTAAAATAATTACTTAAAAAATGAAAAACCTAAACTTATTTTATTTCAGCTAGTTGTCGAGGAAACATTTTTTATTTCCATTTAGCTTGTGCTAAATGTGCTAAAATAACAAAAACTAAAACAAAAATCATAAAAATTACTGTATATAGACATACTAAAAAAAACTAAAATTAAAATAAAAAGAAAATATAAAAAACTCATATATAGAAATATATAAATATAAAAATTATATACATTTATAAAACTTTATAAAATAGGAATATATAGGCTATCGCATGGATCATATAAAATTAAATACATGTAATTCTGTTTCATTATTTTGTGCTGTAAATTTGTAAATTCAGTGCTAAAATTTTTGATTGCATTTAATGGATAATAACATTCCTATTTGCATTTTCTGTAATTAACATGTACATTTAATAAGGCTGCATGAATATTTAATGAGGCAAGTGCTGTTCATTTTTTGATTGGTTGTCTGAAAACGCCATTCGTGTTTAAAAACACAAGAGTATGATTTCATGAATCATGACCAAGGGTTATAAGTACGACAACACATGGTTAATTGCAATGTGAAAAGCTCAGTGACAGAATGTTACTCTTAAAACTTACCATAAAATTAGTCCAAATCCCGGGTTATATGGCTTGTTCTGCAACATAAGTGTTCCCAAAAGAAAAGTATAACAGGTTTGGAACAACCCGAAGGTGAGTCAATGATGAGAGAATTTTCATTTTGATAAATTACGGTCCGTTCACACCAAAAACGATCATTATAAACCGCTACAACCTCGTATAACGTTGTGCTTTTAAGGCGGGTAAATTCTGATTGCCTGTCAACGAGTTAATCGTTCTTCGGCTGGGGGGAAAAAAACGTTCTGAAAGTGATTCCATCGAAATTGTTTCTCTATGTCGTTATACTTACTCTATGAGAATAGGTATGACCACACCACAGCTATAATTAAGCTAATAAAGCCAATAATAAGAGAATAAAGCTAAAATGTTATGGTTATAAACCTTGGTGTGAACAGCCTTTTGAGTTACTTAGCCTAACCTGGTAGAAATAGCACTGCAATGGTGATTCCTTGTTGTCTTCATCAACAAACAGTCCTCCCAAAACATAGAGAAGGTTCTTCTTCGATGTGATGCTGACATGATTTCGAGGTATCTGCTCTGCTATGGCTGCTAGGAAGCATTCGTTTTCATGAGCATCATAGGCCACGGCCGCTGTGTCGTTTATCATCAGGATGAGATCCCTGTTGAACATCCCCAGCCGTTTGCTGTTATTGAGATAACCAGGCAACACTTTTTCCCCCTCTTCTCCTTCGCCTTGCGGAAGTTTTCCAGCAAACGCCTCTTTGATGACCTTCAGCTTCTTGGCGAGCTCGGGGTCGGCCTTGATGATGTCGTCCTTTTCCACTTTCTCCTTGAAGTATTTCTCGGGTAGAAGTTGGAAGCGGATGTGTTCGAAAGCATCTCCCAAAGCTTTCGCCCGGTTTTCCTTATTCTTCCCGACCCATTTCATCAAGAGCTCAAACACAACCTCTTCTTTTTCCACGTTCAGGGCATCACACCCGATGACAGCGAACAACTCGGGAGCATTGAACTCAAGAAAGTCCTCATCCTTGGATAAAGTCTCAAAACGATCCGCTATGAAGTCCCTAGCAGCCATAGCGAGTCTCGGGCAGTTCAAAACCAGTCCCATTCTGAAGATAGCCAAGCAGTTACCCAACGAAAGCTTGTTTTGTAGATAGCTGACGCAAACGGTGAACAGGGATGGAATCTGGAACCTGTTGGCGACTGCGAAGACGTCTTGCACATTCTCATCTGTGATTTCCATGTCTGCAGAGTAGAGATAGTTCACAATCATGTCCATAATGGTGGGATCCACGTTCTCCAGCACTACTTCCTTGCTGGAGTCTTTCTTCTCAACACCGTCTTCAGTAAAGTACAGCTCTCGGAAATACGGGCTACACGCAGCCAAGATGAGTCTGTGGCAGGGAAGACTCCGATCTCCAACCTTCAGAATACAATCCACAAACTTGTTCTCCTTCAGAAGTTCCTTCAAACCGTCCTGGAGCAGGGTGCTCTGAAAGAGCCTCAGGTCCTCCTTGATACTCATGGGTTCCATCTCAAATTTTGCAGGACTCGAAGAGGATGCTATACTTCCTCTTGTCTTGCTGTTTCAGAAGCTGAAATAACACAGAGCTCCAACGCAACACTGAAATTAAAATCTGCCCCTCTAAATATAGACCCCTCATACAGTCAGAAAGAATTCAGGCTGACCAAACGGGAGCACAGTGTCACATCAAGCAGCTGTCAAAGACTGAAAAAGACAACTGTGAACCTTGGACACACTGAGAGGTCAGGGGTGTTTTGTAATTGAATGTGTGTTTGGTGCTATGTAACTAAAGGATGGAAGGAGTGACGCGTCAGTATGGATTCAACAGAGTTTTAAATAATTGTAAAGGTGTGTGTCATTACCTCCGTTTTGCACATGGTGTCATTTGTACGATTAGTAAGTTGATAGGTCTGTGACTCATTCATCTTGTACTCTTCATGTGTGGTTTCTATTTAAAGGAAAAGTTCAGCCAGAAATGAAAATGGTGTCATTATTTATGCACTTTCATGAGCTAGTTATAAAATGTATGTTTTTTGTTCTTTTTGTAGATTGAAAGACTATAAAAGGTCATTGTAAATAGTTTATACATTTTTCTAAACTCACATTTTACATTTGTGTTCCACAGAAAACATAACGGCACACAAGTTTGGAACAACATGAGGGTGAGTAAATAATCCTTTTTGTGAAGTATTCCTTTAAATGCTCTTTTTACTTTATAAACTTCTGTTGCCTAAAAGGACAGCAGAGAGCAATTAATCTGCTCGTCTGGTCATTTGTGAAGTAGTTGAGCTCCTCTGACACATTTTTAAACAGACTTGTCAAACCTGAGCCAGCGAAGCGCATATGATGGTTTGAACAAACCATTACTATCAAAACCACTTAAACAGGTATTGAAAAACTGATTAAACACTAAAAACAATGGTCTTTCTTACAACACAACAGCAGAATTAGCATGTGAAGTTGTCTACATAAACAAGCTTACAGTTTCTAATATAAAAAATATTATTTTATATTTGATACATATATAAATGTTTCTATTTCTGTGTATACATTCATATTATACAAAAGTAACTTTTAATTTTTTTCCAGCTTTTTTTCCTAACTTACACTTGGTTTGCATATGATTTGTAAACATGCCATTATCAAATATCAAATAAATATTCTAAAAATAAATACAATTTTCACATTTAGCAAATGAAAAATGTTTTCATATTGGATGTAAATAATGTAACAACGCAATGCCGAAATACATATAATGGTACAGAGCGTTTTAACCCATGACTTCCCAGAGTCACTGTAGTGTGAATCCATCTTTTAATTTCTCCATAGCTAGACCCAGCTGTTCAGAGAACACCGGCTCACGATCATGTTGCTTAAGGAGAGAAAAAAAGATGTAATTTAAATGGAAATTTTGTCCAGACAAATAGACAGACATATAGACAGATAGATAGCTAGATGATAGCTAGATACATACTACAAATTATAGACAGACGATAGATAGATAGATAGATAGATAGAATTTACCTTATTTCCATCTGCAAAATAAGCCTTGAGGTGAAAAAGAGAAGAAATTGCACATCAGTGATTGTACATCTCCTGTCAGTCTTAAATAAGAGAGCATTCCTGATGTCAGAATCATCAGAGCTCTGTGTAAACGTTTTTGACACCAGGCAACAAAAGTCTGTGTTGATGGGGCATTGTGAGTTGAGGCTTAAGCAATCAGCTATTTTCAGTGTGTGAGACGCACAAGCACACACACACACACACACACACACACAAACACAGAGCACTACGTGGTGAAAGCAGAGTGTCATTATCTCTGAGAGTAGCATATGAGGTAAAACTCACGGTAAAAGCGTCTGTGTGCTCATCTGGCTCAATCTCCACGTCATCAGGCGGCTGTTCTACGGTCAGCTCCTCCAGAGGCTGAGGCTGAGACAGAAAGCATATTTATGTTATTTGCCAGATTTTTGCTTTTAATCTACAGAAAAGTGGAGCCATTCTAGCCATGTTTAATACAGATGTGCGGTTTTCAAAATTATTGTACTTTTCACTATACATCAAAAATCTTCGTTACTACCTTTTCTTCCATCTCATATTCCACACCAAAAATGGGGTTTGCTGAGTACACTTTGTGTAAGGAGTTGATTTCCTTCACTGCATCTTGTAACTTGTCCATTGGATCGATCTTGAATCCCAGCACATAACCTCCTGTCTAGGAGAGAGGAAACAGCACAAAATGTCGCTACATTCACTCCAGGGAATTTACTGCCACATAGACAACCGTTCAAAGGTTTGGGGTCAGTAAGATCTTTTAATGTTTTTGAAAGAAGTAAAAAAGCAATATTGTGAAATATTAAAGGGGTCATATGATGCGATTTCATTTTTTCCTTTCTCTTTGGAGTCACTGCATCTTGTAACTTGTCCATTGGATCGATCTTGAATCCCAGCACATAACCTCCTGTCTAGGAGAGAGGAAACAGCACAAAATGTCGCTACATTCACTCCAGGGAATTTACTGCCACATAGACAACCGTTCAAAGGTTTGGGGTCAGTAAGATCTTTTAATGTTTTTGAAAGAAGTAAAAAAGCAATATTGTGAAATATTAATACAATTTAAAATATTCCTATTTGAATATATTTTAAGTTGTAATTTATTCCTGTGATGCAAAGCTGAATTTTCAGCATCATTCCTCCAGTCTTCAGTGTCACATGATCCTTCAGAAATCATTCTAATATGCTGATTTGCTGCTTAAGAAACATTTCTTATTATTATTAATATTGAAAATTTTTTACTGCTTAATATTTTTGTGGAAAGCGTGCTACATTTTTATAAGGATTCTTTAATGAATAAAAAGTTAACAAGAACAGCATTTATTTAAAAATGTAAATCTTTTGTAACATTATAAATGTCCTTACTGTCACTTTTGGTCAATGTAATGTAAATAATTTCCTTAAATTTCTTTTTGATTCATAATGTACACATTTCTATCCTTTTATTCTTTATCACATCAAAAAATGATTGTGACGAGTGGGGCGTCACAATCACCACTCGTCACAATGATAATAATGTTAAGAAAAATTAACGCTTTTAATGAGATGTTAGGGTCATTATAGGTCACATAATACAACACATATGACAAATGTTTTTCTGATGATCTTGATGGTCCAAACTTACCTGTTGAGAGCTCTCGATCACAAGAGCAAGTCCAAATTTAGAGTCTCTAATCCTTATTGAGCACTTCAAACAAAATAATAAGAAAAAGAAAGCACAATTTTAATAATTACAACTCATTACTGATGGCTTAGTGTTTTGAAGCAAAAGAAGCACACACAATTTGCAGATAGGGAATGCTGACGTTGAAGCTCTCGTTCATGTTGGCATGCCACACTATCCTCACGTTTGTAATGAAAAACGTTCCAAGATTACCCTGAAACACAAGGCCATGCTTTTCTCAGTTAAATTCCTACTAAATAATCAATAATGATACTGTAAATCCACTGAAAATACCTGATCACTAGACAGGTTCCAGACTCCATTAATTTTGTCATAAACCTGCTCCTGTGGCAGACGCCTCAGCTGTTTATTCTGAATAAGAGCTCCTCTTAGCTTTAGATCCCAATACATTTTGGAAGTCTCATAAGCTCTGAAAGAAACACAAATAATTAGTTTGGTAACTATTTTTATATACCCTATTGTATCTAATATTTTACATGCCTTAATATTTCTTATTGTTTGTGTCAGCTGAATGAATACAATTAAATAAATATATTTTATTGACATTCCAATCATTTCAGCATAATATTTTGTTCTATTTTTTTTTTTACTTTATCTTATACAACATTTTTTATAAGCTTTCCTGTAATAATATTTCCTCTGAGTAATTTATTTCATTAAAAGGTTACCATTTCTTTTCAGGAACTTTTATTATTCATTTTGTGTGTTACCATCCCCAAAAAGTACATAATTCAACCAATCATTTAACTCAGAGGCTTTCTGTTTTGTCAGATTATGTGGTATTTCTTTATGTCCCTCTTTAAATTTAATAATTACATTTTTTAAAGTATAAACAATTTGTTCAAAGTGCTGTTAAAATACTTTTAACTGTATAAACAATAAAAAATGTGTGGAATTTATTATTCTGCATTTCACAAAATATATTTCACAGAATATTGTATATATTGAACTACAGATCTAAATAATGTAGATTGAGGGTGCTTTCACAAATTTGCAGTACATCCGTAAGGCAGATGTAAGTGCCGTTATGTACCGAAGCTTTGTAAATAATACGAACGGTTCAAAAACGTAAATATATAAAAGTGCGAGCAATGTTATGCATTTGCCGCTTCTCCTGCGCCGTCGTTACTAAGCACACGTCTGCGGTGCAGTGTTGCTCATACGGCCACTGAAGCTGATTATGGCCACTCTAGTCAATGCTTGTGTTTATTCCAGCCGCGCCACGCACGTTTCTGAAGCGGCTCTCTGTGCTGCTTCTGTAAAGATACACGCATACGCCTCCTTTGAATAAATATAGCCAAAATCCATCAAAA